ATTTGTGGTGTGTGTGTGTGTGTGTGTGTGTGTGTGTGTTGGCCAAGATCAGCAGAGAGTGAAATCAGATAATGCCAGCAAAGAGAACATGGGATATCCCAGACACAGCTGCCTTAGGGCTGATAACCACAGTCCAGCGAGAATAAGCTGCCACATTGAGTCCTCTGAGGCACCGGTTCCAGCCACGGACCAGTCTTCCCAAGTCCACTCCTGGACAAGGACACAGAATTAAAGTTCCCTTTGTCTCGAGAAAGTCACAGGTCAGCCTGGCTCTCCACAATGTACAAACCAAATAAGAAACTTACAGACTTTATTAATCTGTATATTGAAAGCTAACAGAGTCAAGCAGGTGCCGTCACTGAGCCGGCTCAGCCTGAGGGTTGGGAGAAAGGCTGGGTGGGGCAAGGTGGAGAGGCTTCAGCCTGGATTCCACGTGGAGTTCCTTGGAGTACAGGTTTGCAAATAGCAACTCCTTCTGTACATCTAAATACAACACTCTATTCTGAGGGATGTTTTCACAGAGTGTAGTGCTCTAACTTGGTCCAGCTTTTTACAAGGTTCCATCGCTTCTGGTTTTCATTGTTTAAGGAAAAAGTCAGCCGTTTCCCTGGCCAGTTTAAGAATTTTCTTAATTAGCACTTTCCAGTAATTTGATGCATGTTTTTTTCTTTGAATTTATCTTCCTGAAAGTTATTTGAGTTCCCAGTATTTGTGCATATATACCTTTCTAACGGTTGTTGGATGCAATCTCTTGCTTTGCTGTGTGTATGGTAGATTTTGATTTTTGTAGTACGCATTGTCATAGTTTGAGTCTGAAATGTCTCTTACAGGTTCAAATGTTTGGACACTCTCTGGCTTTGGAGGTTGTGGGACACATGAGAGATGGTGCCTGCCTGGTGGAGCTGGGCTACTAGGAGAGGCTGTGGAGAAGGATCATCTTCTGTCTTAGTCTGAGGCCTCTGACTCCTGGTCTGGATGCCATGTGAAGAGTTCTTCCACACACCCTCACATCCGTGAAACCACTACACCACACTTGCCTTCTTTGCTAACACAGATTAAAACCCTCCTCACACTGTGAGTCAAAGTTAACATTTACTTCCAAGAGTTGCTTCTGTCAATATGTTTTTTTCCTCTCCAATAGGGAAATTAACTAACACAAAGACGGTATGGAGAGAAGCGTCGTGATTAAACCTGACCTCGTGGGTCACAGCCCTTGCCACCTGTCTGAGAACATTGTAGAGGAGTTTGTAGATGGCATTAGACACATCCTGGAACGATGGGTTCAGAATCCCTGCCAGGAAATAGAAATGATCACAGAACAGACATGCTCCTGAGAGCTCAGATGAGAAGAAACCTCACTTGGAATTGAGCTAGAGTCCATTTATATTCTAACCTGCCAAAGACTTTGGATACATTCTTCCCATGTTCTACTCAATCAAGTGACTCTGAACTCAAAAACATGGACTAATTTTCTTTGGTGGAGGAAATTTCAAGACAAGATATCAATCAGGCTATGGTGTGGCTGTTACTTGATACTCTTACCCAAACTTACGGTGAGAATCCAGAGCAAAACAATAAGAACACTGTGGAGTTTGGTGAGGAAAGGAATGCAATATTTAAAGTTGTACACAGAGCAAGGCTGGAGGAAGCACATTATTGCCAAGGAATTTAGTGCCACCAAAGTCTACATTGGAACAACAGAGAGGGTGACCACAGGGCAGGATCCTGCCCTTCAAATACTCCCGAGTGTGTAGTTGCAAACTCATTTGAAGACCTCATTAGAAAGAAGAGTTGCTGCAAAGGGGGAAGTTTACAGGAGAGAGGCCCCAGGGTCTGTTGTTCAAAAAGAGCCTTGGGAGAAATCAGCTCCCAGGTTCAGCTGTGTAGGCCCTGGGGGTCATGTTAGCAGTGGTCCCAGTGATCATGGCTACATCATCAGTCCGTCGGCTGATCAATCCCTTGGTCACTGCTTCTGTAAAGTGCAGCATGTCAGAGTCATGGGACCATGGAGGCTGGCACCAAGTTTCTGGGAGGAGGGGGAGAGCCTGTGAGGCTAGGCAAGAGTCTCTGAAGAGAGGCCCAAGGGGCTACTAAGTGAGTTGGTAAAACAGAAATGTGAGTCGCAGTGGAGACCCCTCAATGTTGGAGATGTTAGCGATAGAGGATGTCTATCAGGGAGCACTGCAAGCTGTTAATAGAGCTGGCCAAGAGAAAGACTGTGTGTGCTTTTTAATAAGTAGGGCTATTAGACGGAGTGGTCCAATCTGATTAGAACCCCAGTGATGACACCACTGGTGCCAGGCATAGAGTTGTTGGACTTTATGTTAGCCTGGCTAGTTCCAGGGTTTTCTTTGGCCCAATTTTCTTCCCTATAACCCCTTCCCCTTTTAGAATAGAAGTGTTGAGTCTATGGCATTGTATACTGAAAGTATGTAATTTTTAAAAAAAATTTTCAGGGACTCACAACTGAGGACCTTGAGTCTTGGTAGATACTTTGGACTTTTAGACAGTGTTGGGACTCCTAAGACTCTGGGGACATTTGGAGTTGGACTGAATGCATTTTGCATTACATGGTGGCCATGGGTCTAAAGAGGGCCAGAAGAGGAATGTTGTGACTTGAATTTGAAATGTCCCTCACAGGCACATGTGTTGGAAAACTTGATCCCCAGCTGGTGTCATTGTTTGGAGGTGGAGGCACAGAGCTTTTAGGATATGTGGCCTATCCGGAAGAGGTGGGTTGCTAGGGGCAGGCCTTGAAAGTTAAACCATTTCTAGTTCTGTCCTGAGCTCTCTGACCACCCCTGAGGAGCCCACATCCCACCGCCATGGACCCACGCTGCCAATCCTGCCTTGTGATGCTGGACCGAAATGCCTCTGAAGCTGTGAGCCAAGTTAGTAATTATGGGTCAATAATTAAGTCAGAGATAGCCAATGAGAAATAGCAAATGGCCAACAGCTTCATAATAAATATAAATATGTGTTATTTGAGGGCTAAAGTGGCAATGGGACCCAGGCAGCTGGCAGGAAGACTACACTTTACAGCTATGAATATAGTTGAGCAAATGTCCTTGTGGTGTGAATGTGCCTCCTTCGGGTACATACCCAACAGTGGTATTGCAGGGTCTTGAGGTAGGTTGATCCCTAATTTTCTGAGAAACGGTCATACTGATTTCCACAGTGGCTGTACAAGTTTACACTCCTGCCAGCAATGGAGGAGTGTTCCCCTTACACCACATCCTCTCCAGCAGAAGATGTGATGCCCCCAGACGATCCTTTACTGTACAGGATAGTTTTGGCTACCAGTGATCAGTTCTTAACAATATGAGATCAGCTGAATATATTGTGATGCCTAGAGTATCATTTTCAGGTGCATACCAGTTTCTGAGCAATTTGTATGTCAACTTTATTACATGGGTTGCAGTTATAATCCTATTATTTATAAGTTTTCAGAATAATGATTAATAACTAACTCTTTATCTATAGAGATTAGGTTTCTTTGTTCTTCCTGGGAATTTCTAAATGTGCTCCTTTAAGGGAAACTAGAAGTATCAATAAAGAAATCTAAAACTTCTAGTCCATATATTCAGTTCATATCCTGGTGCCAGAAAAATGTCTGACCTTTCATATCTTATCTCTTTTTCCTTCTGTGTTGCCATGAGATTTTTAATGCCATCCTTTAAGAAACCATTTTCTTGGTACTTAAGTTCTTTGGAATATATTTATCTCTTTTTGGTATTGAATAAGTACTAATCATTAACCTTAGTGAGCTCCTCCTCCTTATTCAGGATGACTGCAAAGGCAACCACAGGGATAACTGGGAGAAACTGGTTTCTGTAACAGATCAGAGAAATTTGGTTTTTCTGTAAAAGCTTTTGTTCCCAATAAACACTGACATAATCACAACTAACAAGGCAGAACCAAGAGTTTCCATGAGAATAAGCATAGTGAAAGTTAGTGAAGCCTGAAGTCCATGAGCTCTCTAAGATCAGTGCAGGAGTCTACAGTATAGTATCCACAGGTCCTTGACAAATGGATGGGATTCTCCAAAGGGCCTTGCCATCTAAGGTGCTGGATGCATTTGTAACACACCTATGCACCGCCCCGAGGGTGACAGCATGGCTTCTGCCAGTCTGCTCTCTGCAGCCTGGCATGAGGTCAAGGCTTTCAGAGTCTGTATCGCAATCACGGACCCTGCAGCCTGTCACCCACAGCTAGGCAGATCCCTTCAGCCCCAAGGAATATGCGCACAGCTCCTCTCTCCTCCACCCTGTCATTTCTCTTTTGAGTTGCCACGATCCCCTGGCTTCTGTTCTCTGTGTGCAATTTACAGAGCCGTCCTCCAGGGTAGCTCACTGTGAGCATCTCAGTGCTGGGCACCATCCGAGGGAATGCAAAGTATTCCTGTGGGAGAAAGGATGTCCAGTTTCAGGGGTTAATAAAAACTGCCAGCCCCGACCGCTCCTTTGGGCCCTGTCAACTGATCTCAGTGGACAACAGTCCTAGAGGCTGTCAGGGAACAAGGTGAGGCAGGGTGTGCCCTGCCTCAGGGTTGCAAACTAGGTACCTTGGAGGTGCCTCCCACAGACCTGTGAGATGCTCTCCCCCACCCCTGCCCAGAGAGTCTAGGATGGAATGTCCTTTTACCACATAGCCTCACTCCAAATATTTCAAAACAAAAACTCAGTTGTCTCTATGATAGCCACAAACTTTATCCAGGGTAACGCATGGCTAATCCCTTCCTGGGTGTGACCCTGAGAGTACCCAGCTCCAGCTGCACACGTGGCCCATTCCCCCACGTCAGTAGCCTGGCACGGGCAGGGGGCAGCTGCTTATGGAGGCCTGCCTGTCCCAGCCTGGAAGCCTTGTGTGGCTGCACAAGGTATTCCCCCCCCCCCACCTCCTCCAGGCCTCCACGTGGAGCTATGTCACCTCCTCTGCACAAAGGCTTCCAAAGAGCTGGGGCCACTGGTAGGGGGTGGTTATCAGAGCCCTTGAGTAAACAGACGGGAGCCAATAAAACACCAGCCAGTGGGGAGCTGGGCATTGTGCGGGCTGCCCAGGTACAGTGGAGCAGACATGGGACCTCGAGGTGCCCCTCTCCTGGCAGTGGCCCTTGTCTTGGGGCTGTGTGTTCTGGTGGAGGGCCAGAAGCCTTGTGAGTAAAAGTGTATGGGCGACCCCGAGGATGGGAGGTGAAACCTGTTGAATGAGAGGTGGTGGGCTATAGCTCCTCCATCACCTGCACTAGGTGGCGCTTCTCTATATGCCCCCTCAAAGGATAAAAGCAAGGTGATAGTTTTCAAGGAGCTAGACAGCACCCTGCAGTCTGGGTGCTGCTGTGTGAAGTGCACCCAGAGACCCTTACTCAGAAGGGCCATGCCCACAGGTGTCAGCCTGCTCAGGAGGACAGGAGGGCCTGCCCTCTGCCGTCTTGATCATCTACCTCGATCTCTGCCCAGATTCCCAGGGCCACCCATCATCTTTACAGAAGATTCGTGTAGCCTTTCTTTCTTTCTTTCTTTCTTTCTTTCTTTCTTTCTTTCTTTCTTTCTTTCTTTCTTTCTTTTTTCAACAAATGAAGTTGTTTCATCAAAAGCCTGTGGTTTCCTCGGAGGAAGCCAGACAGCTCTAACATGAGCAAAATAAGACCCCCGCGTCACTCCTTGGGCCATGGGATTTTAGGAGGTTCCCGATGTCCCAGGGCAGGTTGGGGCAGGCACATAGTGCACTGGGCAGGGCTGACCACGGATGGATCTATTCACAGCCCCCTGCCAGTGCTCCAGGATGACACCGAAAAACAGAAAGAACTGTGGATTCTCCGGCATCAGCAGTGACGAGTGCTTCGATCGAGGGTGTTGCTTTAACTCCAGCGTTCCTGGGGTCCCCTGGTGTTTCCAACCTCTTCCAAAGGAAGGTAAACTTTGGAGATCGGGGTCTTCTTGCCAGCTGTCAGCTCAGGATCTGGCGCTAGGCAAGGTCTAGAGCAAGTGCTTGGGAGCCTGGCTGTTTGTCTAGAGCTAGCCCAAGCCAACCGAAAGGAAACCTTAGTGCCTCTTCTATATCCCCCATCCGCCCCCCTCCCCCGTGCCCCCATACCCTGTATCTACACTTGCCTGTGAGCAGACCCAAATCCCATCCCTCCAAGATTTAAAACCATATTTCCAAAGGAGCCTCAGGAAGGAAATGAAGGCAGCAGTTAAGATGCCATTATCATCCCTGCAAACCATCTTCAGACATGAAGAACGATGTTGAGGCTTCTATAGCAGCTCTTTTGGAATGCGTTTCAAGTCAGGGCAAGCTGTGAATACAGCGTGCACAAGGCTATCTGTGTGTGTGTCCACCGCAGGCACGGACCTTGCCCTCAGGGCACACTCATGGTGGGGAATGCTCCCCCCTTCAGCGTGCTTTATATATAAAAGACCAGGTAGGTGTGTGGCTGCGTACAAGGGCCCTTTCAGGATCAGTGTCTTCAAGCCTCTCCTGGGCTTGGTACAGTGGGCTGCTCTTATTTCACAGAGCTGAACACTGAGTCAGAAAAGGGTAACCTGGTTTTCCCCCCAAGGTTCCGGTTCTGCAGATAGTCCCACCTGTGATGGCCTCCCCATTCAAGTGCCCTTCTGTGGGAAGGACAGCCAGGCCCTAGCTATTACTGTCCTGAGAGATACCAACCTAAGGAGTTCCTTGAGACACACAGAGGCTGCAAGCCCAGTATCTCTGGGAAGGCCGGACTGGTGGCCCTCAGTGGGCAGCCAGCCTGACAGAGCCTTGTATGTTGTTTTTTCCCATGACCAGAATCAGAGCAGTGTGTCATGGAAGTGTCAACCCGAAAGAACTGTGGGTTCCCGGGCATCAGCCCCAAGGAGTGCGCCTCCCGGCAGTGCTGCTTTTCAGACTCAATCCCCCGAGGTGCCCTGGTGTTTTTACCCACAGTCTGTGCAAGGTAAATGGTTGCGGGTGGGGTCCACCTGGGGCCTGGCATGAGCCGCTCCCACCCATCCCCCCCACCTGCTGAGGGCCCCTCCCTCGTGTGTGTGTGTGTGTGTGTGTGTGTGTGTGTGTGTGTGTGTTCACAGGTGTGGGGTGGCCGGAGTTTGACATCGGGTGTCTCCCTTAGCCCCTCTCCATCATCGTTTTCAAGACAGGGTCTCTCTTTGAACTTAAGAGTTCACTGATTGGCTAGGCTGACTGGGCTGTGAGCATCAGGGGGGTCTGTCTATCCCCACCCCACCCGAAACCAACACGAGGGTTATAGACATGCCCCATCTCACTTGCGTTTTATGTGGACGAAGGGGATCCCCGAGCTCAGCCATCCCCAAGTGGTTGGCTGTGTGACCACACACGCGGGTCAGCAGGCCCTCCGTGTGAGAAATTTCTAATGGTTTGGGGAGGACGAGTCCTCAGAGAGTGCTGAGGCTTGGGCGTCGTCCTTCTCCCGCTCTGTCCTCCCTCAGACTCTGTCAGTTATGAGCGACCGCACTTCCGAGGGCAGGCACGTGCGGCCCCTCGGCATTCTTTACCAACCGCCCTGCTTTTCTGCCCCCAGATTGTCATTACTGAGAGACACTGCCGCCCAGCCGCTGTTTTCCCCGGGGGCTACAAACCAGAAGAAGAAAGCCTCAACCAGACTCTATCAGTTTCTGGGTTTTCACAAACCGTCTTGACACAGCGTTTTTTCCAAGTAAAGAAAACCTTCAAGTCCTGGCAAAATTTTATTTTGGTTTCATCAAGACAGTGTGTATGTGAGTGTGTGAGTGTGCCCACATGTGTGTGGGTGTGTGTTTGTGCTTGGGTGTGAATACATGGTGTGTACACCGTATATATATATATATACACACACACACACTCACACACACCATGCACGTACATACGTGTGTGCGCAAGTGTGTGAATAAGCACATGTTTGTAAATACATTGGTGTGTGCACATGCATGTGTGAGCAACAATGTGTGAATGTGTGCATACACACATGTGTGAGAGGTATAGTTTTAGCACACTCTCGTCCCCTCTGAGAGCAGCAAGCCACTGAACACTTCTAAGTCACTCCAGTAACGACAGTGCTCTGCCCATATGAATTTCGGCGTCGGCCGTCTCTGTGGTCCCGCACAGGCCATTCTCTTTAAAGAGCTCAGTGGACTCAGGCCCCAGACCCTATATTGGAGTAATGCATGATTTCTGACCACAACTCCCCAAACCCTTCACTTGTACCAAATGTTCCGAGAGCTACTCTCTTTTGACAAGGGTCCCTGTCCACTGCTTGCCCCCTGATGTGAACAAGAGAAGTGGGGGCCTGGAACATGGGCATGCTCCCTGAACTGTGTTTCTTGGCCCAAGAGCATCCCTTATAACACACTCCAGTGGAAGTTGCTGAAAGAGGAAACAGTGTGTTACAATTTCAGGCAGATCAGGGCAGGAAGCCTCCAGCAGGAACCCTGTCCTTACTGCATTTTCTAAGGCTTCATTCTCAATAGGTCATGATCCTATTGGCAAAGCTCTATCTCCAAAAATATTTCTATTACGATTCACAACAGTAGCAAAATTGCAGTTGTGAAGTAGCAATGAAAATAATTCTATGGTTGGGGGGTCACCACAACACGGGGGACTGTATTAAAGGGTCACAGCGTTAGTAAGGTTGAGGACCACTGGTCTGAGGACTGTTGATGGTATCCAGCTGGCACTTAGTAGGGTGTGGTGATGGCATGAGGCTGGCTTCTGATAAATTTTTCATCCCCTTTCCTTTCCCCAGTCAAAGTATACTGGTTAGCATCACCCAGCAGCCTACTTCTGCTACATGGGGGGCATCCTGAGTTCCAGGACTAAGGCCTGGACCACTGGTTTGCCCCACTCCAACCCCTCTTCCTTCTTGGGAAACTCCCAGTGAAATGATTCCCCCAATCTTGGAGCCATCATACTGAGCTGTGAGGCCATCCAAGAACAGCGTTACAGTTTGTTTTTCTGTTGCTATGAGAAGACGCTGGCCAAAATCAACACGGGAGGCAAGGGTTTATTTAGCTTATACATTCCGATCATGGTCCATCATGAAAGGAAGTCAGGGCAGGAATTCAAAGGAAGAACCTGGAGGCAGGAACTGATGCGGAGGCCATGGAGGACGCTGCTCATTCATTGGCTGGTTCCTTCTGGCTTGCTCAACCTGCTCTCATTCACCCCAGGACCCACACCAAGCTGGGCCCTCCAACGTCAATCACCAATCAAGAAAACGCCCCACAGGCTTGACCACAGGCCAGTCTGATAGAGACCTCTTGTCAGTTGAGGCTTGTTTTCCAAGATTACCCTGACCTGTGTCAGTTTGACCAAACACGGCACGGCTGTCTTCATCGTTCTGGCTTGTGCTTGTCGGTGGTAGGCTTGGAGCCTGCTCATTCCATCTCGCTATGTCCAAATTGTGTCACTGGCTGCCTACCCCAGAGGGCCACCAACAGGCTCCTCTTGGCTCTGGAGCAATAGAAAATCAGCCTCTTTAACCACGCCCCCTCAAAGGTTGTCTTCTCCACCTCGTCTCCCGCCCCCACCCCCACCCAAGATCCCTCAGTAGCCTGGGCCTTCTCTGCCTGTCCTCCGGTGCCACCCGCCTTCATAGGCATCCTCTGTGCCCGAGATGGCATGGAGTACCTCTGAGAAGCAGAAAGGGCAGCGCCAGGTGGGAGGGGTCTCGCAGCTGTCAATCTGATACGAAGCTGATGAACAAGGGGTTTGCGAACCTCAATTCACCAATTCACCTGCCCTGGCTCTGTGGGTCTTCACCTCACCCATGTGTCTCTTCTCCCTAGTCACAGCCTGCGCACGGGAACACACACACACACACACACACACACACACACACACACACACACACACTCTCGGCCCTTCAATACTGTCAGCTGTCACCCTTTCCAGCCCTGTGGAAACAACTCTGGGAGGCAGTCCTGGCTGTCCACGGGACAGCTTTGGTTTTGGCTTCCAGGTTAATCATAGATTGGTAAAGAAGAGACCCTTGCTCTGCTCTGCAGCCCTGCTGGAGGGGACCCACCCCAACCTCACTGGGTCTCCTGGGGGCTCGGAGGACAGGGCACAGTCCTCGGTCATTCACAACTGCCAGGTTTCCCCAAAGGCTCATGGCCAGTAGCCCCCTTATTTATTTTTTGCGCAGCACTCATTGATGTGATATTCATGTAGCGCAATTAAAAAAAAAAAAGTGGCGATGAAGTTTCCCACCTGCCAGCCACTGTTCTTTGGTGCCCTCTGCTGGCCGACTCAGGGAGCAGCCTAACTTCGATCTTCTCAGTAGCTAACCACCCTGTTACTAACATAACCAACCCAGTGCCTTTTCACTAGTGAACTCATAGGGGTAATAGTTATACCATTGCCTTTTATTTCAAATCAGATGTGTTAACGTGTGAGTTATGTGCATTAAAATTTAAGTAAGTAGCTGTCCAGCACTTGGGAGGCAGTGGCAGGTGGATCTCTGTGAGTTCGAGGCCAGCCTAGTCTACAGAGCGGGTTCCAGGACAGCCAGGGCTACACAGAGGAAACCCTGTCTCAAAAAGCAAAACTAATAAAAATTAAGCAAGCAAATTCAGCAAGTTTGAGAAACGCACACAATTGTGTAAGTACTATCTCAGTCAAACATAGACTACCATTTTGCACCCCAAGTAGAGCCCTGCGTCTACTGCCTGCCCCTCCAGGAACCAGATAATCAGCTTGCTTTCTCCCTGGCTCTGTCTCTTTCAGAGCTCCCTGTAAGTGGACCCTGCAGCCGTGACTGTGCTTTCTCGTAGAGACCCCTGCCTTTCCACTCGCCAGGCTGCTGCACGTAAGGAAGCTTTGTTCTTTACTATGGCTGAGCAGCCCTCCGCAGTGGGGTGTTCGGATGGACTTTTGAGTTACATCCAGATCTTAATTATACAGGAAGCTGCCAGGAGCTCCTGGGCCCCAAGTCCTTGGACTTATTTTGGTAAATGATTGACGACTAGGATAGACATCCATCATTTCTAGGGGTATGTTGAGCTTTGTAAGAGTCAGGACAATTGAGGTCACACCATTTCTCCTGCCCACCAGCAATGGATGAGGGGACCAGATGGCCTCCGTGTTCACCCAGCTATCTTGGCATCATCAGTGCATGTGATAGGACAGCCCCCTTTTATCAATTATGAGTGGTGTTGAGCATCTCATGGGCTTTTTATTCCTTTCTTTTTTTAATGGTAGTCTTTGGCAAAAGTGTCTGTCTAGATAGTTTATTTTTATTTTCTTGACATTAAAAATATTTTTATTTGGTCATGCACATACCAGGGCAGGTATGTGGAATTCAGGAATTGGTTCCCTCCTTCCATCACGAGAGTCCTGGGGATTGAACTCAGGTCCTCAAGCTTGGCAGCAAGTGCCCTTTCCCACTGAGATATCTTTCCAGCTCCAGCTCACACATTTTTAATTAGGTGTTTATTTTCTTTTTCTTTCTTTTTTTTTGCTGTCAGTGTTCTGACATCCTACATACAACTCCTCTACCAGAACCGAGTGTGGGGGTCCACCTGAGTGTGGGGGTTCACCCAAGTGTGTGGGTTCACCCTGTAATCCCTGCACTTGAGAGGCTGAGGGCTCGGTGGCTGCGAGGTTGAAGCCAGCCTTGGCTGCAGAGCGAGTTCCAGGTCAGGCCGGGTTTACACCCAACAAACAAACAAGTCCCCTCCCTATCGCTGTGTGGTGAGCAGATATTTAATTCTGGTCGATGGCTCATCCTTTCATTTACTTTGGCAGTCTCTAGCAAAGAGTAAATTCCTCTAATTTGGTGAAATCTAGGTGTGTGCACACGCGCGAGCGAGCGTCTCACTCTCTGTGTCCTATCTGAAGACATCTGCCTAACCTGAGGTCCAAACACTTCCTGTTACATTTTCTTCCTGGAGATCCATGCCTTCAATGCCCGCATCTCCCTTTAGGGAGACCTGTGAGTTTATCTGTGGTTTCCTCTGGAGCAGCCATTGCAGCATGAGGACTTCGTGGTGTGTAAAGCCTTCAGGATGCCCAGACACTCTAAGCATGGAGACCATGAGGGGCCTTCTCCTCAGAACTCTGTTTGCTGAGTATCTTTCAGCCCTGTCTCTGCTGGGACACTGGGGTGAAGCTATTGTCTTTTGAGGAATTTACCCATCTCACCCTTTATGAAGTGACTATAACATTTCCACATTATAGAATTTACTGTTTTCTTTGTGAACAAATATGCCATTAAATGCTGGGGATGTAAGAGGTTGTGTTATTTTGGGATTCGAGTCTGATGTACACAAACACAGGCTCAGCTTCCTGATTACACTCTATAAATATGTTATGTAAATACGTTTTGTCCACTTAGCTTCTCCTATCTCAGTGTGTTTCCTCTGACAATGCTGCTTTTGGACCATTTCTGTTCCAACCTCATCGCTCCTGGATTACAGGGCAGATGGGCTTTCTCCAGCCCCCACGAGCAGGATGCTTGTCACACTTTGGCTGTAGCTGTCTGTCCCTCTTTGTTAAGCTCCATACTGTGTTTGCTTGACTTGTGTCTTGTCTGATACGAAAACTGCAGCCCCTGCTCCCAGCTCTGAGGCCTCTGGTGATTGGATGTTTTTTAAAAGCCTTTCTTGGTTATTCACGGATGCCAGTTACTCAGCATGTCTCAGGAAGAGCAGAGAGGGAACGGATTGCTGGCCAGGAAACACACAAGCTCTAACGAGGAGTATGATCAC